CTTCTCATTGTACTGGAAATTCCTTTTGTGATATAAGTTATGAAGAATATATGAAAATTAAGCAAAAATCCAATTCAGAACATAGTTATAATAATGAGTATGCATTACACCGTTATGAATTGTGGATGCAGAATACTATCAGAAAAGTTAAACATGCAAGAGAAATCCGTAAGAAAATTTGAGCATGTACAATAATACAGCGTAAATTCATTGAATATATGTTTAAACCCTATGGTCTCTGCACTTCAGAATTAGAATTACATTATTAATTATTATAAGCAGTTCGAAAAGAAATGTGTCAAATCAATAATGTATAGGTATTAATATGTGTCAGAGACACTAGCTCCACTATAACAACATATAACAACATATAACTTATCTATTTATCTGCTTTATATATTTTTTTTCACGTTAATTGTTTTTGTCTTAACTCAATTTCCTTCTGCAAATCTAATGGAGTATCGAATCTTAATCTAATTGCAAGCGGATCATCTTCAGGCCTATCTAGATCAAATACAATAAATTCACCTTTGCGGAGATAGGTATTAATAACCATTGAAGCATTTTTTACATCATCTGTGTATCGTCGAATAATTTTGAAAATATCTTCATACGAGCTACCAGAGTTAAAAATTACCAAGTGAGAGGCATTTTCACGTATGAATGTAGTAATTTTATGATATTTCTGCGCTACATACTGTATATGCATAAAATATTCCAATATCGCCGATTCCCAAAAAATTGACCAATTCGATTCTGTATATGTTCTGGAGTGAGGCACAAATCCTCAAAAACAATCGCTGTACTTCATTCAGGTGAAAATGCTTTTACATTAGGGATTTTTTCTGGTGATATATACCTAAATCGTATATTCTCATAGTAAGGTGCTTTCGGATCTTTTGAAATTATGCCATATATATATCTTACAAATGCCCATTTTGGCTTATCAGAATAATATCCACATACGATTAAATCATCGCAAGAAATATATCTACTATCACCTTTTTTACCTTTATACTGTATATATATTCAGCTTTATCACTGAGAAAAAGATTCGCCAAGATATTAGTTTTACCTGATCCACTCTTCCCAATAACTAGCTTAGAGAAAGGCCATGCCATTGTTGGATGTCCAACATTTCGTGATGATTCATATTTATTAGCTTCGTCCATATCCATAAGGTAAAGTTTCATAGGTGGCAATTCTTTCTTTCGGTTCTTTTGTATAACAGATTGGGAATCCATAACTTTGATTTTTATAGACTGGATAAAAAATTTCTTTCTTTTTGATTG